TCACGTCTGTAAACATAAAGAAGTTGTCCCGGCTACTAGGCTATCGCATGTGAGGATCCTGCAGGTGGCCGGTCGTTTATAGCCTTTTCTCACAGCAGCTGGAATAATTAAATGTATCATTTTGATGGCGGATTGTAATCCAGAAAGGATTATGTGTTTATGAAACACATGTGAATTCAATTACATTATATTCCAGTTGTAAATGTGCTTCTGATTACAGATAGCCTGGGATTACACAAGATTTGTATTTTAAAGACAACCAGTTCGAAGGGAGCATAATTTGCTTTTTGGGTTAAAATAATTTCTTAATATGAAATTCGAATGGTATGACAATTAGAGATTAGACTGTACAGAAATTGAAATCTACACGCTAATACACACTATACTCATAGTCACGCAATGCTGATGTTGTTAACATTAATAATTTGAGAATAAAGTATAACAATAATAATCATTTGCACAGTTTGATGTGATATGAGCTAACCAATTTTTAGATGAAATCACCATTGTTAGCGCGATTTATTGTAATGCTTTTTTCCTCAGTTGGTCAAAACAAAAGTGTCAGACTTGTTACTTGTTCAGATGACAATATACGGTGAAAATTCTTATTTGGGTCATATATTCCAAGACGTATGGTAGAATCTGTGATTGCGAAGTACAGTAAATATCCACACCGGTGCGGTGACTGACTGCCACACACACATACTCCTCAAAATATTAGATTAATCCGCACTGGAGCCGTGCCGGAGCACAACCCACGCAAGGAAGATAATTCCACACACAGTTGCAATTGCAGGTTTTCAAACAGAGATGGCGACAAAGAGACAAAACTTACGGACTGCAGCTTTAAAACATTGTAAACCAAAAAAAAAGTGGAAAAATGATAAAACTCTTATTTTGACTAATAGAAACTGAAACGTATCAATTGTATAAAATGACAAAACACAAAAACATACAACACATTACAACTTGACAACCCTGATCTGACATTTATAAACAATACCTTTATACTGAAAACAGAGTTCAGGTTAAAATGCTCCTTCATTATAATAATTGTCTCTTCTCTTTCAGAAAAAGGGTACAAAGATGTTACTGGAGCAATACCCCAATTAAGAGATACAGACACCCGAGGAGGTACATCTTTGTACTTTTTTTTTTTTAACCCCTAAATGGTACATATTACTACTTAAAGCCAAAGGTACATATTAGGCTAACTAAGGTGTACACTACACATTAGTATCTTTTGAAAGGGTACCGCCCCAGTGAGTTCTGTAGCCTGCCTTTTTCTGATGTTTTATTGAGTGCACTTGTTTAACCAGAAGCTATATTAAAATTATGCTGATATTAAAATTTCAGTTTGGAGAAGATACCCTTGTGAAATACTCCCTACGTGTAGCCGAGACCTCACAGCAAAATAAACGAGTACATTTCATTACAGATCTCTTTAATGATTTATTAATTGAACTATTTTTAGTACTTTAGTTCTACATCGGAGATCAAACAAGTTGATTTAGAAAATGAAGGACTTTCAGCAGGGGCAAAAATAAACATGTTTTCTGAAGGTTTATTTCTATAGCCTATGATTAACACGGTTGCACAATCTGTATCTGACACTGATATGTGATTCTTCAGTTAGCTGAGCATATCTGACTCAAATATATCTATCTCACAAAAATGAGACTTCTTCAAACTATGCTTTACGCTCAAATATTTATGACATCTTCTGTATTAAAGATAAGGGCCTTGAACAACCTTAAAGCTGATTTTAGTGAAATTGTATTGATGTGTATTTCTTTGTGCGTTATTAGGATTGTGTTAATTAGCTATTACCTTTGAACTTGCAAGAATCAAATGAAATTCATTTCTGAATTTAAATTCTAAAATACTAACAGGTTCAGCGTAGGCATCTACATCTAAACATATGCATAACCTATAATTCTTTATATATTGTACATCTCCTCAAAGTTTAAGCGAACCATTTTCTCTTTTGGGAAAAACATTGAATTGTTCTCTAAACTGCTGTCATGGTAATAACATCAGTTTGGGGGACAGTGATTTATTTTAAAAAGCCGTTTAAATAAAAGGTATTAGAAGAAACACGATCATAATCATAGCTATAAGCCATTATAATGTGTGCTTTAAAACTAGAATGATTTAAAAAATCCAACCATACACGTTATTTTCAAAGGCAATAACAATCAGCAGGTGAGGAAATAAACTGCAACACTAGCAATAGCCAGAACATGGATTATATAAAACATCGCTTGAAATTCTCCAGGCGTGTTTATAATCGTTTGAATGAAATGTCAGTTGGTATAATGTCATATACGTTACAGTAGAGATAAAGATGTACCCTTTTAGATGATGATATAAATGGTGATAATGATGCTGGCAAAATTCATCGCTGAGCCATGCCGCAAAATCAACCAAGGAGCTTTAATAAACATACTGATAGTGTGTATAACGATATTTGATCAGGAATGAATTCAAAGCTTTCTAAAAATCGTTTAAAGCAAAGCGATACTTACTATCTGATGCCATGGTCGCGTTGTACTGAACCAGCGGCGTCAATCACCCGCCCTATCGATCGATATCTTCAGAAGTATAAACAAAGAGGCTTGGCGACCGTCTGTCCCCGTCAAACCTGCTGGAGCGAGACGGAGGAGAAGCCCGCCGGGACACACTGCTGTCGCGGGCACGCATACGGGCACGAGGGCATCTGGACGAGAACGCGCTGCGCGCTCTGCAGCAATGACCTCCAGAAGCTTCATCCAGACTCAGTTATGTATCAGTGTATGTCATGTTCAGCTTCCGCATATGGGGCCTATACATCTGTGTCTTCAACTTTTGTGTACTACTAGGGGTTGATTTTTATTTTTGTTAAATGAGAACCGCAATAAATCTGTCCTGAAATTGTTTTAGCATATGCTGTAACTTTTTTTCCCAGATTGACTTTCATTATTAAAATGTATATAAAAAAATATAGTATTAAATTTGACTACATTGTAAGACTATGATCCAAACAAGGAGTAAAATAATATCATATAGTGTAAAAATAACAACGACTGAAAATTGTGCCAACAAGTTTGATCGAATATTACCAACAGTGAGACAACAGTGTCAGCAAAGACCATGCCTTAGATCAGTGTTTCTCAACCCTGGTCCTGAGCGCCCCCCAACACTGCACATTTTGTATGTCTCCCTTTTCTGACACACCCATTTAAGGTCCTGGAGTTTCTTTTAATGAGCTAATGAGTTGAATCAGGGCTGCGTTCAGCCCCGACAAAACGGTGCAAAACGTTTTTTAAACGGAAACGGTGGTGTGTTGAACACCCTGTTCTGATGACGCAAGAGTTGCAACTATGGCAGCTGAGAAGGTGAAATCTGATGAAATCTGTATAAATACGTGTTTAGTACTGCAAAAATACACTCGATGTTACAGTCACTGCCCTTGCCGTCCAGAATAAAAGAGAACATCCCAATTCGAGTGAAGGGATTTGTGGAAACTGTGGTTCCTAATTATTCTGATCCAACATTTGCCTCGCATTTCAGGATGAAAAGACAAACATTTCAGGTGAAGGATAATCCACTTCTTCCGATAGCCTACTGTGTTATGATCTATATGACCTTATTATTTTTATTGCGAGTATTAGGCTTATCATTATTGCTGATCACTGTTGTTGTGCTATGATATTGTAATATTTACCATTATATAATCAGAGGAGTATAGACATTTTTTTGAAAGTGTCACTCCACAGTACAACAGCAAAATATATAAATATGTATAGTATTTTTATGTTACACTATTAATCAGTGTCTAGCACACCTTCCTAAGGAAAGGATATGGACCAGAAGGCATTGCAATTACTAAATGATATTTAGACAGACTTTAAGAAGTTCCAGATCCATACATGTGCTCTTATTTCAGTTATTTTGCCTTTAATGCAAATAAACATGTGCAAACAATATTCTTGCGAATTTATTTTGATGTTAATTACTTTGTGCGAGCTGCCTCTTTAATACTGCATGGTTTATATACATGTTGCTGCTGATTGGGCTGACATTTTTGACACACCCACCAAACAAGAGAAAACGCATCTCAAACCCCGTTGCACACCGTTTCCAGGAAACATGTTGTTCAACCCGGAAACCGTAGCAAAACGGTGCACACCGGTTTGAGCTTGAACTTGCCCCAGGTGTGTTTGATTAGGGAGACACACAAAATGTGCAGTGCTGGGGGGGGGGGCGCCCAGCCCAGGACCAGGGTTGAGAAACACTGCCTTAGATGAAATATGAGACATATATAAAAAAAATAAAAATAAAATAAAATATTGTGGGTATTTTAGAAACAAACTACTAGCTATAAACAAAACATTTTAGAAAAATTATTCTGTGATATGTGTATAAATTTTGTTATAGGAGAGAGTAAATAATGCAGTGTTTAAACATTGCATACAAATAGGAGTCAGTTGAATCATGCAGAGCAACACTGAATAAGATTTACTGAAAATAACTTAAATGACTATAAATCTACTCTCAGATCATGCAAAGCTGCTGCAGTTAGTTGCTAAAAAGAAGTATAGCATTTTTATAAGCATTATTTTCTATCAATCTCCAGGAAAGAAAGAAGTCAAAAACACCATATATATTCGCACAAATTTAGCAAACAGCGACTCTGACCCTACACTGCTTATGTGCCTCATGTTCCCAGCATGCATAGAGGGAAATTAATCTTTATGTGCAATCAGTCACTATGATTTGGATGTATTGAATTCATCTGAAAAGCTACGGCCTATTATGTGCAAACTACATCAATCTTGACTGTGCTGCAGATCTAAATGATCAGGTGACTCCACACTTTGGCTGAGGCAAGGGAGAGAAATGCTAGGATTGGAAGTGATAAAAGATATTGATTAAAATCAAGCAGCCGAATGAGTACATCAATAAAACCTTCAGGTTAGAAAGAATTGGCCATATGCATATAAAAGACCACACAACTCTCGTTTCTCAGTGTGTGAGATGTATTAGCTGGCACGAATACAACAGGAAGAAAGTGAAATTACAGAAATTACATTCTGAATTATAAAATCGTTAACATGGTTTAAAACAACAAAGTATACTTAAAAAACTATCCATTTTAAATAGCTGCTTAATAACATGTTAATGTAAAAACTATCAAAGAACAGTAAACAAATAGCTTTTTTTATATAAACAATTATTGTCTAAAATGTATATCTATCACATATTCTGATGCCAAATACTAAAATACAAAAACAAAAAAAGAAATAGCTGTCTTAAAAGCAACTTACATTCACTGCCCTTTTAACCCAAAAGCAGCAACGTTTAAAATTACATAAAACAAATCAAATGAAACGGGAGCTCAGAGCACAAATCCCATTAGCTTTTAACACTGGGCGGCCCACCAATCACACTCCATCCAGATGGTGCTGCTTAATACTAAGTGGGATCGCTGCTCTTGTCGGGGTTCCAGTTGAATTTTTTCTTCTTTTTTTCTAGGGAATTCAAAGTCAAAAAGTGAAGTTCTTGCATCAAACAGGCTCTTCTGCCATTATTAGTTAGCATGATCTAATGACCCAAGGGTATCTGCAGGGTTTTAAAATCCAATTTAAGGCTTTTAAACACCTGCACATATAAAATGACTGCCATATGGGCAGAGTAGGGCAAAATGACTAAAAATGATGATTTAAACAACTATACAGTTTAAATATTACTGGTTGTGACTAAACCAAAAAGGTTCTAAAATGATAAACCTCACATTTGAGCCTATAATCCATTTTAAGTAAAAGGGATGATATTTATATTCATTTAAAATATATAGAATTAGAACACTGGACAATTTTATTGTTGATCTGGGAAAAAAAAAAAAAAAACAGCAGACGGCCTGAAAGAAAATGTGAATCCATTCAATGTGCGGTATTCATTGATTGCAAACTGTTCTGTAACCATGAGCCTGTAGAACGTGCGACAGTCCTGTGTTTATTTAGAAAAGTGCACGTTTAATTAAATCATAGCCTTTTGAAGTTTAATAATCATGCACATTAAGCCACATTAATCAACATCTGTTTGCTTACCTGGTTCCATCTCTTCTTTCACTGCACTCAAACACCACAGCCGGGTCAAATTCGAGCCCTCATCCTCAATTCCTATCGTATAGAAATGGCTATAATCAATCAATGCAAACCAAACTGTAACTAGGTGAGTCTATCAGGGTGGGCAGGACTTACCCTGAGTTCTGAAGCGTAACTGAGTGCGCGTTTTAAGTGATGGGAATCTTTTCTTTTTTGATGACACCTTTGGTGAAATGTCTGATCCAGCTGCTGGGACCAATTCTGCCTGTCTGTGACGTCGGGACTTGGAAGCCTAACCAGGGAAATGTTGCAAAACAGTGCAATTACTTGCACAGTTTTATGTGGATTATGCTTAATAACCTATCTACATGTAAAGGCCTTGTAAAGTGTTTATTTTATGTGCTCATGTTATTAATTATGTACAAACAATTTAACAAACAATCTGACCTGTCCCTTATGCTTTCTATATTTACCTCTATAACTTGTCCATATGATTTGGATTTGATTGACGCTAACAGCTGGGCTCTGCTGGAGCTCTTTGGATGGAAAAAAAAGAACACAGTGAATGACGCACTCCTCTGGTAAAACAAAAGTACTGCAACATCACAAGATAGCTACACTGCTGCAGTATGGAGCACTATGAAGTATTAAAGAGACATATGAAAATACATTTGAACTTAATCTCTTACTTCTTGATTTGAAGGTCCCTCTCCAGCATCCTGCAGCTCAGATGTCTGAAAAAACAAACATAGTGCTTTAAATACGTACACAGTTACAAAACACATATACAGTACATTCTATAAACATATTCAGGAATAAATTCAGGATTAAGTGCTATCATTTATGTAGTAGTTTTACACTACTGTTCCAAAGTTTGGGTTACTAAGATTTGTTTTAATTTCTGGAAATCTTAAGTATCGTAAACTCGCCAAGATGTAAATGTAATGTAAAATATTTAAGATTTACACTATCCTTTTTCTTTCTTATTCTACATTAACATGTACAATGTCATTTATTTCGGTGATGGCGATGCTGAATTTTCAGCATCATTACTCCAGTCTTCAGAGTCACGTGATCCTTCAGAAATCATTCTAATATGCTGATACATTTCTTAATACTATTAATGTTGAAAACCGTTTGATAAATAGAAAGTTGAAAAGGACAGCATTTATTTTAAACAAATCTTTTGTTATATTATAAATGTCTTTACTGTCACTTTTGATCCGTTTAATGCATTCTTACTGAATAAAAGTAATTAACTACTTTTAAAACAAACTAAAATTAGTTCCTCAAGATATTAATTCCTCAACAACAAACAATAATACAACATAGATTCATAAGCACAAATACACTTACTGCACGATTCATCTGCCAGCTGGAATAAGTGAAGACGGCACTGTTTAGTTTGGGAACCAGGTTTTGTTGTACAATATTCAGGTTTGGGTCTGGTTCAGTGAAAACGGCTTTCTTCACACCTTCATAATGCTCATGGACATTTGCAATTTCCTAAGGTGCGGAAAAATACAACTGGACTTGTTAAGCAAAACAGCCTTCCCATTTACAAGCAACTCCTAATCACACTTGTAATTGTCAAATAAAACAGATTTGCATTTAAAAATCACAAATTAGATGCAGTTTCTACAGGATGACTTTTAGTGCAATTTTTGTTTTGTTATAGCCATAATTCATTAAGACCAATATTTAAATCATGTCTTCGACTGATCAGTGACATGACAAACATAGTGACACTCAGTGTTAAACCTGGCTCATGTTTAGCACGGAGTTTAAACGTCATAGAGCAGCTATAAAAAGCATTCACACATTCAGAAATGTATTTAAACAAATGCTGGAGGAGATACATTTTATGAAAATGAAGCTCTTGAAGCTGTTATGTTGAATCACCTCTAGTACATCTGTGGTGACGAGTTCCTGAGGACGTGATGGCGGGTCAACAAACTCTTCACAGATTTTCCTCTTCCTTCCATCTTCCCTCTTTATCCTGAAATTGAGCTGTAAACATGTACAATGAGCACCTTTGGCCCGAGTTCAGAAAACTCAGGTTAAATCAGTTTGTTTCCATCAGTACGGACACACACAGCAAAGAAAAAACACTGCTTAATTATGTCAACATGTAACTTCTCTTACATGACATATCCTATGATAACAGGATATTCAGTGTAAGGTGGGACTAGATCCACATTAAACTGACTAATTCATCAAGTGACTGAAACGAAGGACTTTACGGCACATCACAGCAAAAATCTGGGCAAAACTGTGTGGTTTATGTAACACTGTGTCTTGCAGCCAATTTAGGTATACAAACACTGAGCTTATTAACCTACCGGTGTTGGCATGGCTGTGAAGTAGAAAGCTTTATCGGACAAGAGCTTTCTGAAGACATAAATCACATCGTAATGTTTAGCATTCAATGCATCCTTCTGAAACTGCATAACATCCTTCCAGTCCTTCAGAGAGATGCGAATCTACAAAGCCAAACATTCACAAAGAAACAGACAACCGCTAAAAAAAATGACAATACATGAGTTTTAATTAATTTGCTGTCATGTCATCCAAAACCTGTATGGCTTTCTTTGGAATATAAAGAAGATATATTGATGTTTTGGCCATACAATAAAATATCTTTTGTGCGCCACAGAACAACAAAAAAGGTCATACAGGGTTTGGAATGACATGGGAGTGAATAACCCCAGGCCCTAGTAACAGAACACAACAATTCTAAACAGAAACACTAAGACAATACCACAGTGACCCAGAAGGCTGACAGAATGATTAGATGCTGGGTGACAGCACACCTTCTCTCTGGGAGTGGCGAGTTGTGTGTTGAAGAGGCCGTACAGCAGATAAAGGCCCCCCACTCTGATCTGGAACGTGTAGGGAGGAAAAAAGTATGGAGCCACCACAGACAGAATCACACGAGCAAAGCGCCTTCTCTCATTTGGCTCCGGTTTACCACTGCAGAGAGGAGGAGAGAGAAAGAAATTACTTTTCAAACATAACAGGGGATGGATGGGAACCCCTCATACAAGATCATATTTGGGGGCCTGTGCATGGTATCTAAAAGATTGAAAATCCTAGCACTAAAGCATCAATACACACAATAAAAGCAGTGACGGGGAAAACGATGCCAGTAATGTTCATAATAATAATAATATACAATAAAATGAACATTCAACAAGAAATACTTTCAAATATATAGACAGTATGTGCAACTGAAATTTGAGTTTTGCTACAGTATCACATGTTCTTTATATAGTTCTCTTATGTGATGATTCTAATCTCATTTAAAAGGATTCACATGAAACGGTCACTGGCATCGATGTCAAACTCACTGGAAGATGCTGCTGAAGTCCATGCCTCTCCAGAGCTCTACAAACTGCTCGTACCGAACTGACTCGGTCGCTTGAAAACGACCCAGTAGTTCTTCACAGTCTGTTTTTACCGGTCCGCGGAAATTATCCATCCTGCCCCCGTAATCACCACAAAGACTTCATTGCTTATCTTTTAAAATGAGATCAAATAGCATTGTTGTTTGTGTTCTCGTCTCGCTCACATGCTGCTGTTTGATAAGAGGTTTAAAGTTTTGTACTGCCATCTAGTGTTTCGGATGTATGAAAAAGTGTCCGTGTCCCAAACACAGAGGTAGAAACATGACTTGCAGTTCCACCTGTGGCACCAACTATTGTCAGAGGATGATAAACTAATTGTAAAGATTCTGTCGATATAGTACAGTAAATTCTGTAGGCCTACAAAAATACTCTAAATGATTACTTTTCAGGAAACAACTCAAAGCCAAAACAACATCTAGCACATTTTTTATTGGTTAGCCCAGTTATACATTTTCATAAGGGTTATTTTCACATGAATTTGATAAAGATTGAAGTAAAACCATGCTATATAGCATGTACTAATGATTCTATTAATGATGGTCAAAGAGCAATTCATAAAAATAATATTTTAAAAAGTGAAAGATAAAAAAAAACAGTCTGACATCTGTAATACTAGCCTAATTCCGGCAGCCATATCACCCTGTAGCCCAAGACTGGTTACCCACTGAATCTAAGCAGGGCTGAGCCTGGTCAGTATCTGGATGGGAGACCTCCTGGGAAAACTAGGTTGCTGCTGGAAGAGGTGTTAGTGAGGCCAGCAAGGGGTGTTCACCCTGTGGTCTGTGTGGGTCCTGATGCCCCAGTATGGTGACGGGGACACTATACTGTCAACAAGCACTGTCCTTCGGATGAGACGTTAAACCGAGGTCCGGACTCTCTGTGGTCATTAAAAATCCCAGGATGTCTTTCGAAAAGAGTAGAGGTGTGACCTCGGCATCCTGGCCAAATTTGCCCATCGGCCTCTGACCATCATGGCCTCCTAACAATCCCCATATCTGCTGATTAGCTTCATCACTCAGTCTCCTCTCCACCAATAAGCTGGTGTGTGGTGGGCGTTCTGGCGCACTATGGCTGCCGTCGCATCATCCAGGTGGATGCTGCACACTGGTGGTGGACGAGGAGATACCCCCTGACAATGTAAAGTGCTTTGAGTGCCTAGAAAAGTGCTATATAAATGTAATGAATTATTATTATTAATTCAAAAGTAGATAAAAACTTGCTGACACGCTCAAGAAAGTTGTCTTAGCAACAGAAGCTCGAGGCTATTTTCAAACATTCAGGCAAACATGATGAGTAGGCTATGCAAAACTACCTGCTGGATGGTAACCCAGCATATTTGCTTCTCAGAGATGTCTATTTGATGTGCGTGTTTACATTGTTATGATTTAAAATCATTCGTTTTTGCAGACGTATGTGCTATCTGGGAACAAAGAACCCCATTTCATTTTCACTGTTAAACACTGACGCATTTTACAGTGTGGCTGCATCAACACATGGTGTCATTTATGTGCTTTTGTTTTGTATACACATCCTTCATGGGTGGGGAGGGTAGGGCAGGTATTATTACCTTATTACTAAATACCTAATGTTATTGTTCTAGGCGTTCTGGCGCACTATGGCTGCCGTCGCATCATCCAGGTGGATGCTGCACACTGGTGGTGGACGAGGAGATACCCCCTGACAATGTAAAGTGCTTTGAGTGCCTAGAAAAGTGCTATATAAATGTAATGAATTATTATTATTAATTCAAAAGTAGATAAAAACTTGCTGACACGCTCAAGAAAGTTGTCTTAGCAACAGAAGCTCGAGGCTATTTTCAAACATTCAGGCAAACATGATGAGTAGGCTATGCAAAACTACCTGCTGGATGGTAACCCAGCATATTTGCATCTCAGAGATGTCTATTTGATGTGCGTGTTTACATTGTTATGATTTAAAATCATTCGTTTTTGCAGACGTATGTGCTATCTGGGAACAAAGAACCCCATTTCATTTTCACTGTTAAACACTGACGCATTTTACAGTGTGCCTGCATCAACACATGGTGTCATTTATGTGCTTTTGTTTTGTATACACATCCTTCATGGGTGGGGAGGGTAGGGCAGGTATTATTACCTTATTACTAAATACCTAATGTTATTGTTCTGCTGGTATGTGCATTTAAGCATTAGATCTTATGTGACAGAAGACTGACAAATGCCATTTTTTCTGTTTTCTTTCAACGTCTGTAGTTGCCCATACTGGTGACATATACAAAATGCTTTCCATTGAGCTCAAGCATTTTAAAGGGGTCATATGATGTTGCTAAAAAGAACATTATGTTGTGTATTTGGTGTAATGCAATGTGTTTATGCGGTTTAAGGTAAAAAAAACACATTATTTTCCACATACTGTACATTATTGTTTCTCCTCTATGCCCCGCCTTTCTGAAACGCGTCGATTTTTACAAAGCTCATCGTTCTGAAGAGCGAGGTGTACGCTGATTGGCCAGCTATCCAGTGCGTTGTGATTGGTTGAATACCTCAAGCGTGTGACGGAAATGTTACGTATTGAGATAAAATGTTAATGTAAATGTTATGTAACCTAGTAATCTGTCTGTCTAACTGGTTACAACAGTTAGATCATGGAGCGTTTGAAGCAGCAGGAAACCTCACATAGCATGTAAGGACAACAACAATAGCTCTACATTTGTACAAGTGAAGTGAAGTGACATGTGGCCAAGTATGGTGACCTGTGTTTATGGTTTATGGTGACCAATTAGTGCTCTGCATTTAACACATCCAAAGTGCACACACACAGCAGTGAACACACACTCACACACACCGTGAACACACACCCGGAGCAGTGGGCAGTCATTTATGCTGCGGTGCCCGGGGAGCAGTTGGGAGTTGGGGGCCTTGCTCAAGGGCACCTCAGTCGTGGTATTGAAGGTGGGAGAGAGCGCTGTACATTCACTCCCCCACCTAAACCTTTGGGTTACGAGTCCGATTCTCTAACCATTAGGCCACGAATTCCCCTTCCCCACAAGGATGTTTCTAAAATTCTTTTGAGCATTTATCATGTTTGTAATCAAGTAATGCATGCTTTCATACTGGAAATTGGCTGCAAAGGCAGGTACATGCTCGAGAGTGATTTCATTAGCAAATGATTTGTCAATAGATTGTCCTGGTACTGACATATGTGATACCTGAGGTTAACCAACATTGATGTATCTGAAAGTAAAATAAGCAATAAATGTATTCGTCAAAGTGCCATTGATTGAAAAAAAAGGTACATGAAACAAGGTAATGAAAAATGTTTTATTTAATAAACCGGAATAAAGTACAGATTTGAACCAGTTACATATACTGAACAAACCTAGCTGTAAACATAATTTCCTTAATCACTTCGGCTCAATTCTCAATAAGTTTAACAATTTGTTTTGAAATTGAGATTTGAAATTCTTATTAATTTAAGTAAACTGCATGTGTTCAGGCACATGTAAGTACAATTCTCTACTATTTGCATTACATTTACATTTACATTACAACCTCTAAACATTCTGTCATCATGTGCAAAATGATGCAAAATCATCCATTCAGTTGTCAAAATCTGTCAGTAATGTGAATAAAGCCATGCTTATATAAAAATGTGCATATTCTATTGCAGACTTGAAAACACACTATTTTTGTTAATAACTAAATATGAGTCAGAAATTAGGTAAAAAAATATTGAAAGGTTAGAGCCCCATTTAACATGACTTATTGATTTGTAATTGTGAAGTTACATAGAAGAACCCTGTAATTTAGTGAGACAGATATACAGATAGACAAAGCTTTAATTTAAAACAAAAGACAAAATACATCTATACTAATTATTTCAATTGTTTATTAGGTTTACCAAACAAGGTCTCTACATACATATTGTAACTGCAGGTCCATATAAATACATTCGCAAACACACACAAGGTGCTTGCAAAAGCCTTTGAAACCTTTGGAAAGCCATACTCTATAGGAAACATGTGGTGGAGAACCTCTCTTATAGCTTAAATAAGTTTGCTGACCACATGAAAAATAGTGCCTATGGTTCCAGAATGTTCCTCTTGTGCGGAAATCGGAGAAACCCTTTTCATTATTCAGCAAAACTCCCCTAATGATAGTTAGAGTAACTCGATGTAACAGTGAATTACACAAAATCGGTTTATGATAGCTAAAGAAATGACAGAGAGAGCTAATATGTTTTTTCTTCTTGTTTTGTCAGTGCTATAAACAGCACCCTTAACGCAGGTGTATATGAAAAGATGATCTCATACACACCTAAACCTAGAGCTACTGACATTCTAAGTGATGTTGATCACTGAAACAGACAACGAGATAATGAACATATATAGAGATAGATATATAGCACTAGTTACTGATACAATAAATTGAACCAGTTACAAAGTACAGTTGCTAGCCATACTGGCAGCGGCACCCACCACGGCTCCCACAGTCCCCACGATGGCTTGACCTGCCAAAGGGATTCCAGCAGCACCTGATGACATAAATTCAGTTGTTAGCTGAAGGGTTTGTGTATTTGCCCTTGTGCATAAATAACTGTTGTTAAACTATTTAAAAAAAATGTTTTCCCTGATATGTGACTCACCAGCGGCTTGAAGAGTTGCAACCACGGATCCAGCTGCGATCCCTCCTCCGTTAGCGACAGCAGCAGCTGACATCAAAGAGGAGGCAATAGAACCAACAGCAATTCCACCTGCAGTGAAACCTGCCGCTGCTAGAACAGCAGGAGCTGCAGCAACTGTTATGACTATTGGTGCAATCACAGTATAAGCAGGTTAGTTCAGGTGGAAACACTGGAGCACATTACTGTATACAGACCACTGAAATATGCAACTAAAACATTTATATATATATTCTTGATTTGGACTAAATAAAATAGGATTGAAAATACAATAAAAATGTAGGCTATTTAATTTTTACCTGCTCCTACACCAGCTCCAATAAGCGTAACTAGGGCAAAGAAAAAACAAGTAAACAATTGTTGAGAAACAAACATTTAAAATTCTACAGTTCTATTAGAATATACTTACATGGATCCATCTTAAGTCGACTTTACTAAAGCAAGCAAACTCAGGATGCTCTTGCTTTGCACTGATGCTCTTGTATGCGAGAGCTTGCCTTAATAACTTAGTGGGCGGCTACTTTTTGAGAAA